TTATGCAAAACGAAAAATTAACTTTGCGTGGCCTTACATATGTACTTTACCGTATCGAATTATTTCAATTAGCATATGAGTTAATTAACCTTAATTTTTATTCCCGGTATATTATTTTATTTTTTGCTTTTGTAGACTTACTGAAATTATTGTTACAGACATAATTAGCGCTAAAGATATTGGGAGGTACCAAAGTATTCTAAATGTATACTATAGTATCTCTTCCATAATCGGACCTTTTTTGGGTGGTGTTTTTACAGATCATATTACTTGGAGGTATGCAATCAAATCTAAATAATTTATTTTTTTGTAATTCTTCAAGATTTTCTTACCAAAAAAATAGGTGGAATTTTTTTTATTAATTTACCTCTGAGGGCAATAACGATTACGTAGTGACTATTAGTCTTCATTCCTCAAAACCAACCGATTTATTTGACAAGATTAAAAGACTCTGCTATAATTGTTGTATCAACAATTTGTATATTGATACCTCTTAATTTGGGTGGTAATGCTTATTTCTGGAATAGCCTCATGATTATAGTGCCCTTTAATAAATCTTTAAGAAAAATTTTACCTTTTTCTTAAATAATTTTTGGGAAGTTATTTGGTCTCAACTCGTTCTAATTAATTTTACAATTTAATTAGAACCAGTTAGGACTAAAATCTCGAGATGCGTAATTTTTCAGCACCCTTTTAGGTGCAGGGTATTTTCTTGAATACCGTGCATGCCTTTGAAATACTTTTATAATGCGACTAATTTAAAGTAAACATGTATATCGGATCGTTACGAAAGACCAGCTCATTCTCAATAATTTTGAAAAAAAGAGGAATAACATCACTTTTTATGCCCTTGATCTCATGGAAAACGAGCTTAATAAGTCATTATCTTCGTTGGGGACTTTTTCACATGTTAAACTTGTTGGCCTCTGTGCCACTTATGAAGATGGAATGGACTTTATAGCAACTTTACCAGATAATAAACAAAAAACTTTCATGTGGTTAGGCTCCTCAATTGGAGATTTAAGTAGAGAAATGGAGCAAACTTTATCATCGTTTCCAAGAAAAAGTAATGAATCCTGGTGATTTGTTTTTAATCGGAATCGATAGGAGAAACGACAGTGAAAAAAATGCTACTGCTTACGATGATCCTCAGGGCAGGGCATCAATGCTGAGTTTGCAATGAATGCATTGGATCACCTTAATGTTATTTTTGATCAGCCATTTATCAATCGTAATAATTTTCAACCTATAATGAAGATGAAAGTAGACGTGAATGATATTATCGGTCCAAAAAAATCAAATATTGGAATTTATAGTTTCTGATGATATCAACAAAGAAAAAATCAAAATCAACGTAAAAGAGGATGTACTTATTCTAATTGCATATTCTTATAAATATAATAAAGCTGAAATTACAAAGCTTTTTTACGATGCACATTTAGCTCATGTAGGAAGCTGGTCTGATTCTGATTTTCTATATGATCTTCACTTAATTTATAAACCTCCATTCTTCTTTACACGTCCTCAAGAATTAAAAGGGTCTGTACCAACCATGTAAGAATGGCAAGAAATATGGAAATCATGGGATGCGATATCCTTGAACATGATTCCAATGGATAAAATGCATTCGAAACCTATTTATCTTCGACATCCTTTGATTTTTTATTTAGGCCATATCCCCTCTTTCCTTGATATTAAATTGGTCACATATTCTCATGAAAATTTACTGAACCAGAAAATTTTTTACCAACGTTTTCGAACGAGAAATTAATCATGATATGGATGACTTGTAAAAGTGCAATCCTCATTCGGCTGTTCATGATCAATGGCCGAAATGAAGTTCAATCTTCGAATATCAAGATAAAGTTAGGCAAAGACTTTTACGTATTTACGATGCTTATAAGGATAAGCAAATACCACGTTCTTTAGGTCGCATCTTGTGGATGTCTTTTGAACATTTAGCAATGCATCTTGAAACTTTTCTTTATAAGATAGTGCAATTCAAGGGTCTTTTACCACCAAAAGGTGTTGTTATCCCGAATTTGCGCCAACCGATTCATAAAGCTTCAGGTGCAAAATTACTGACAATACAAACACAAACCATTACACTTGGTCATGATGATAATGAGGATCTTGACGACTCGGGTCCATAAGACTTACCATTTGGTTGGGATAACGAACTTCCTTCACGGAAAATCACAGTTGAAACATTTAAGATTCAATCACGTCCTATAACTAATAATGAATACTTGGAATTTATGAAGGTAACTGTGAATCAGAATTACCCATTATCTTGGATTCTAATAGATCTTTCATCATTTGAGTATAGAGTTCGGACCGTAGCGATGAATTGGCCTGTATTGATTGGCCTGTATTGTTGCGTTTTGAACAAGCAAGCCATTATGCTGAATGGAAGGAGAATTACGATGTTTTATGATACTTATTCACGAAACCTAAATTCGGATTTGCCTATTGGCATCCAACTGATGTCCCGTTGGATAATAATTCTATTCATAACATAGGCAGTGCGTGGGCATGTCCTTCTACCAAATTTGAGGAATACCCTGGATTCGTTAAAAGTAAATTATATCCCGGAAATTCTTCTGATTTGTTTGATGGAAAACATTATGTAATCCTCGGTGGATCATGGTAAAAACTTGATTCATGAATTATTTGTTAAAAATTAATCGATCAATAAATAACTTGTTTTTCTGACGTAGGGCAACGCATCCTCGTTTGATACGGCGGACATTCCGAAATTGGTGTCAACGCTGCTATCCATATGCATTCAGTAGCGTTATATCATGTCAAGCCTAAAATATAAAAATATTATATTTGGTTTACAATGTACTTGCTTTGAAATTAATATGATTAGGCCACGCAAAGTTGATTTTTCGTTTGCATTACCCGCCGTCCCATTTTTTCATATCATATGAGAGTAGTAAGGCAAGATATAGGTGAGGAAAAAAAACGTGCCCATAGCATTTTTCTTGATTTTTTTTTTTTTTTTAATTTTTTTTTTTTTGACACGTGATGATATG